CCCCCCCCCGAGCACCTGGGGGGCCTGGGTCCCGGTCCCCGGTGTGCCCTTCTCATGGGACCCCCCACGCACCTTCTTCTCCTCGTGGACCACATAGTAGATGAAAAGGATGCTGTCCCGAGCCCCGTCGAGCCCCGTGAACTGCTCCAGGGCCACGCGGACGTCCACCCACTTGTGAGGCTTCCAGTCACACCACCACTGCAGGGCCCCCGTCTTCACCCACACCGACTGCGACACGGGCCCCCAGCGCACGGGACAGAGTCACAAGCGGGCCCCGCGTGCACCCAGCTCCCCAACCTCCCGCAGTGACGGAGATGGTGCTCTCGTACACCCGACAGGTGCCGAGCCCACAAGCCAGGGTCGTCTATGCACAACCTCCTCGTTCTCAAACAGCCTGTGGCGGGGGGGGGGGGGGGGGGGGGGGGGGCAGTGGCAGCGGGCACTGTTACCCCACGCTCTAGACGGGGAAGCTGAGGCTCGGGAAGGTGCTGTGCCTGACCCAGTGTCACAAAGCTTGTCGACTGCCCACCTGCTCACCTGCTCCACCGCCTGCTCGTAGTGCCGGAAGTTCTCCAGCTCCCGCTTGGTCCTTTCCGTGAGCTGCTGGAAGATCTGCTTCCGCCAGGCGGCGGTCTGGGCCGGCGTGATGGACAGGGACAGCGTCTGCATCGAGGGGGACAGGCCTGCAGGCCAGCGGAGCCTCAGAGCCAGGGCTTCTGTTTTTGTTTTTAACCAGCCTTTTCTGGCTGGAGAGCTATGAGCTCTGTAAAATGCCCCACAAGGGCATGTGGGGGGGCTCGGTCGCTTGGGCGTCCCACCCTTGATTTCGGCTCAGGTCATGATCCCAGGGTTGTGGGACCGAGCCCCGCCTGTAAAAGGCCACCACTGCCAGGGCAGGGAGAGGGGAAGGGGCGCCCCGCCCTGCTGGTCTCCGAAAGCTGCTGACAGGCTGGCTGGACCAGAGGGGGCGTCCAGGCAGGACATCGGGTCGGCTCCCACAGCACGGAGCACCCTCTGGGGCGCTCGGCCCCCGGACACCTGTGCTCACCCGACTGGACGGTGAACCACTTGAGCACGGTGTGGGCCTCCACGGCGCAGTCTCCTCCTGACACCCAGGCCCAGAGGGGGTGGTCATCAGCCCCGTAGGGCTCCTCCAAGCCCAGCGGGAGGAGCCCCAGCGAGGAGAGGCCAGTGGTCTCTGGAAAGCCAGCAGCCGAGCGGCTGGGTGCTCTCCTGGGCTCCTTCAGGTCAATATTGGTCCAGGGCAGTTCAGCCAGGGTGGAGGCCGGGCCAGGGCAAGGCTCAAGCCCCGGGGTCTGAATGGCAGGGCCAGCGACCTCCTCCTCGTTGGGCTCTGTGGTCCTGCCGGTGCCTGAGCCTGGGGCCAAGCTGTCCCTGGGCTTCCCGGGACTGTCTCCAGACTCTGCAGGGCCAGGCCGGTCTGGACCTGGTCTCTCGGCTTCTGAGGAGGCGTCCGTGTCGCTCGGTGCACAGGACTCACCACTGCCCCTCACCTCGTCGCCGAAGAAGCAGCCGGCACTGGGAACAAAAAGGGCAGACCCGTGACCCCTTCGAGGGAGGAACACGCGCTGCCGTGGGCAGGCCTGGCTCGTTCGCCGTGACCCCGGGCGAGCCACAGCCACGCCACCACGCGCCACACACGAACAGCTACCTCCCACGGAACTGGAGCAGCCAGGTCACATCCCAGGTCGATCAAATCATTGGCAGTCCTATTATTTTCTCACTGTGGCAAAGGACCTGTGACGGAATACTGACCGTCTCAAATGATGCGGCATGCAATCCACGTGCAATGTCGTGCAACCACTACTACCTAGTGCCAGAACTCTGTCGTCACCCCCACACGGAAGGCCCGTACCCATTAAGGAGCCACACTCCATACTCCTCTTTCCCTGCCCAAACCTCCAGGTTTAGGTAGAAACGGTATCCTACAACACGCGATCTTTTGCGACTGGCCTCTCTCGCTTAGCACGATGATGTCACCGCTCACCCGTGTCGCGGCACAAATCAGTACCACATCCCTTTTACTGCTGAAAAATATCCTGCTGTAGGGATAGGCCACATCTTATTCCTTTATTCGTGGATGGACTTTGGAGTTGTTTTCACCTTTCTGCTGTCGCGAAGAACGCTTCTATAAACATTCACATCCAAATTTTTGTTTGAACCGTTTCCAGTTCTTCTGGGTGTATGTCGAGGAGGGCGAGTGCTGGGCCACACGGGAATTCTAGCTTTAACTTCTTGAGCAACTGCCAGACTATTTTCCAAAGCAGCCACACCATTGTCTCCACATCTTGTCAACACCTGTTACCCCTTTCTTTTTTGACTGTAGCCCTCCTGGTGGGTGGGAAGGGGCATCTCACTTTGGGTTCTGATTTGCATTTCCCTGGTGACAAATGACGCCGGGCATCTTTTTCTGTGTGCTTTGGAGAAACACCTATTCGAGTCCCTTGCCCTTTTTAAACTGAGTTGTCTTGTTGTTAGTTCTAAGAGTTCTTTATATATTCTAGATGCTAGGTTCTTGTCAAATGTATGATTTGCAAATATTTCCTCCCACTCTGTGGATGGTCTCTTCCCTTTCCTGGTAGTATCCTTTGATGCACAAAGGGTTTTCATTTTGATGAAATTCTGGTTGATCTATTTTTTTTTTTTTTCCTTTGGGTTCTGTGGTTTCTGGTCACGTTAAAGAAGCCATTGCCAGACCCTAGGTTGGGCGTCTGTAGTTTTGAAAGCTTCTCAGCTGATTCCAATATTTAAGAGCTACCAGCTGAGAGCCTAAACCCTCAGGTAAATGAGGAAGGCGCAGCCCGGCCGGTCCCCCGGCCCTCTCAGCAGAGTGAGGACGGCCATGCTGGGGGAGCAAAGGGGTGTGGACCAGGGTCTGGGCAGGGCCCACGCTGCAGACAGGAATGTGGCCAGCTGTGGAGCACTGTAGCAAGGGTTCCCGTGCCATAGGACCAGGCAGGTAAGCACTGCGGGCAATCGTGTTACGGAGCCAAGGCGTCCCCAGCTGAGCTGCTAAGTCATCTGCCGGCACTGAACGCCAGAGGCCAGAGCTGGGACTCATCCCCTCTCTACCCCCGTGGCCCTCAAAACTGTAGCAGCGGCAAGCCTGGGACCTTGTGTCTACCGCAAAATCTACTGAAACAGAAGCCCGGGGGCTGGGGCCTGGCCATCTGGGTGGGAACAAGGCCTCCAGGCATTTCTGGTGCCCGCCCAAGTTTGAGAGCCCTGCTGTAGACTGGAGAGAGCCCCAGTCTTCTTCCCTGTGGTCCTCTGACGGAGGGGTCTTTGCCTGCACCCCACGAAGAAGTCGTTTCTGTCCGAGACCTTGAGACTTTGGAACCAGTGGATCAGCCCTGTTCAGGGCCGACCCCTGGCTCCAACATGGACAACCTCACCCACCTGCCACCTCCCGCAAGCCTGCTCCCATGCGCCACCCTCGGGCTGAGCAGGGGCACTGGGAGCAGGAAGGGAGAGACCTCACAGGCCATGGCTCTTGTGGGCCGAACCTGGTTCTTCCCTGCCTGGGACAAGGCCCAGCACCCCACTGAGAGGCCACCGACGGCCCTTCCCGACCCAACCTCTCCACGCCCTGCTGCCCTTGGGATCACCTGAGGAGACTTGATGAGCTACCAGAGTGTGACCGGTCACACTCTCGGCTGGCGACGATGGCCTTCCATGTTTTCCCACTGAGCTCGCTCTGGGTGACACCCTGACGGAAGTATATGGCCCGGTCCTCACAGCCAATGCCCCACACCTGGCAGAGAGAGGGACTGCTGGGTGGGAGGCCAGCACAGACCCTTTCTGGGGTGTGAGGGGAGGGCAAGGAGTAGGGGACAGCACCCTAAGGCTGGAGGACATGTCTGCAAATGCAGGCAGGAGCCCCCGGCCTTATGCGCGGTCGGGTGCGCATGTGCACATGAGTGTTAGGGCCCGGAGGACGATGGAGTGGATGTGGGGTGTGTGCACAAGTCAGACACAGGGAGCAGAGGCCAGAGAGGACCGGGGAGGGCACGGCACCAAGCTCAGGAGAAGCAGGGACCCTGTCCTGGCTCCCCAACCTCAGGCAGACCCTGGGCTTTCGGGCAACAGAGTCCAGGTGAGGTGCTGATGCCACTGGGTGCTGTGCCGGCACACAGCGTCCACCCAGGCCCCCGGCTTCTGAGTAGCCCCTGGTGGGAGGACAGCTGTTCCCCAAGTGCGCCCAGAGAAGGGTCTGGGTCTTTTTAAAGATGCAAAATAGGAGCGCCTGGGTGACTCAGTGGGTCAAGTGTCTGACTCCTGACTTCCGCTCACGTCACGATCTCATGGTTTCGTGAATTCGAACCCTGCGTCAGGCTCCGTGTGGACAGTGTGGAACCTGCGTGGAATTCTCTCTCTCTGCCCCTCCCCCGCTCGGGCTGTCTCTCTCAAAATAAATAAACTGAAAAAAAATTAAAGATGCAAAACAACCTCCTTGACTCTGACCTCCTTTTCAATGAGAAAGGAAGCTGGGCAGGCATCCTCCTGCTCTCCACCGGCAGGCCCGAAGGAGGGCGTGCCGAGCGGCTGGGGGGCCCGGGGAGCAGCCCGTTTTGGGCCCTGGCCTGCAGGGGTGCCTACGGGAGTGTCTACGGGGCTGCATCTGCCCAGGGTGGTCCCAGTGGCCTTGCTGGGAGGGCTGCGGTGTCTCCAGGCTGGCCTCCGTCCTCAGCCCCCACGTGCACTAGCTGGAGCCCGTCTGGCCCCTGGCCGCTGTGTGCCCAGCTGACTGGGGTGGGGGGGGGAGGACAGCGAGGGGGCCCAGGGGAGGCCAGCACCCCTGCCCTGGGAAGAGCTTCTAGGGCGGTGCGTTGGGACACAGGGAGTCTGAAAAGCAGCCAAGCCTCCTTCTCTACCAGGAAACACACTCTGCGGGGACGTTTAGGAGATGCCGCACCCATCAACTCGGGAAGATCACTTTCACTCTTCACTTACTGAGTGGATTTTGCCCAAATACTTCTCGGCAAAACCCCTCAAGTCTCCAGGATGTGCTCCCCACGACTGCTCTGCGGAGGGACCAGGGATGAACAGGGGCTCTGGGACCCTGGGCAGAGCTAGCCCCCCCGGGTGCCCCTGCAGGCGGGAAGCCTCAGGAGGTGCTGGCACCCCTCCCCCCACCCGTGCAGGCATCACGAGCAGGCCTGGCTGGAAGGGGCGGCAGGAAGCATCAGGAGCCCCTGCTCCGAGACAGACCCCTGCTGTGTACGAACTGCTGACCCTGGCCGTTGGGACCCACAGCTCAGCGTCACACGCACACCTGGTCATTCAGCCCCACGTTCACCATCGTCATTTCTCCGACCATCTCGATCCAGCTGGTGCCACAGGGGTTGTGCGAGTTGATGCCTCTTCGGAACCACACCTGGGAAGGTCAGAACCAAACACACCCCCTTGGAGGGCCGCTGAACGAGATTAATTTTTAAAGGTTCTGGAAGGACCAATGAGTAATTTGGTCCTCTGGTCTCTGGCTCATGGCCACAAATGAGCACAGCACATCACTGAGAGAGATGTCATCTGTGTCCCTCTTCCCCATACCTCCCGCTGCACCTCCTTCTGAGCGTGGCACTGTCCCACAGGGCTGAGGGTCACCTGCCCCCAGCCACACCTGTCCTAGCGGCTTCCTGTCTATTCTCTGGCAGAGGGCATTGCCCCTCCGGGAGACAAGGCTGCCTGAATCTTTCAAGAACCTTCTCTCTACCAGCTCAGCACCTCTTGGCACCAGGCAGAAGCAGCAGGTGCCCGCTGTTTCACTGTGCACAGAGCTGGGGGGTGGGACTTCTCCTGGGCGGCATCTGGTGGGGGGTGGCACGCACCACATCTCGAATGCAGACACTGACCCGTGAGCCTGACTAGAGACATCTCACCCCCATGGACCGCGGTGTAATCCTCATGCCCGACCCTTGGAAAATACCATTTTGTCTGGTCAAGTTTGCCCCTATGTAATGAACCACACAATTCCTGAGGTGGGATGGGGGGAGGTGACCGGTTAAATGAGAAACCCTAAAATCGCTTTTATAAAAAATTCTAGGATGTCTAAAACGTCTCCTTGACCCAAAGAAAGTGCACAAATATTTGTCTGAAGACTGAGCAAATTGCGGATATAAATAAAATTTCCTGCTCATTGAATTCATTGTTCTCAGAGTGGCTTAGTAAGTTGCGGTCTCTGGGAAGTGGATGCTTTGGGTGATCTGTACTTTCTCAGGCTGGGGGATGGCCTGAGGCTCAGGGACCTTCTGCATGGACACAGACTCAGATATGTGGGGGTTCTGCCCCCTTGGACAATGCTACCGATGCCTGGGAGGTGGGGTCGGAAACACCACAGAAGCAACCTGAAATCTCATTTCACTGGACTTGTCTCTGATGACATAAAAACGAGCACTGGATGGGATCAAAAGGATTCAAATGGCAGAGGGTTCCAGAAAGTTGGCACTGGACTATGTTGAAACGTTACAGCGTACTGAATGATAAATACAGCTGTTCTGCAGCCGGTATGGGGGCATGGGTGTATCGTGGAGCTCACCACGGCCTTCAACCCCAGAAAACGCACGCTGCTTGGCTGGATTTGTTCTAAAGGGTTTAGACCACACTAGCAAGAGTAACCACACAGCCCTCAACATTAGGTGAGCCCTCGATTCGATTCCCATATGGGCCAGTGATGCCTTTAAAAATAAAGGAAGAAAGAAAATAAAGAAATTAAACAGAGCCCTCGGCCCCAGCCCCCGGCAACCCTGTCTTACTTTCCGGTCCTTGGTGATGGCCCAGACCACGCTGACTCCCACGGAGACGTGCATGATCCCATTTTCAGATGTGGGAGGCTCCACTATGGACCAGGAACTTCCTACCCGGCCCCAGAAGAAAGAGCAGGCGGCCCTCATCAGCAAGAGCGGTGGGGAGAAGAGTGGGCATCCCCCTGCCTCTCCCTGTATGGGGCGTAGGGCTGCCCACCTTTGGGATTGTTCCTGTTGATTCCTTCCCGGACCAAGGCCTGCCCCTCCCAGAGCGTGACCCACAGGAGGTCGTGGGGCCCACAGCTGATCTGTACCGCCTCCCCTGGGGTGTCCATGAGGGACCACGATGAGCCTTCAGGGTTGGGGTGGCTGACATCCTCTCTGTACCACACCTGGGTGGCGGAGAAACCCACGGCAGGGTCAGGCGGGGCCCCGCCAGGGCTCCGGGTCAGGCTAACAGCCCAAGCCTGACTATGCTTGCACGAGTATGTGCACAGGCCAGGCGTGGAGTCTCTGGGAGCCAGGGGGCCCTGACTGTCCAGACTCGCTCTCCCTGGCCCCACTGCCATCGGAATCCTCATGCCAGATTAGATGGCCCCCGACCGCTGCTAAAAAAAATGCCACCCGGGGTTTCGGCCATCCTGGCTTTGGAACATCTGCTTTCAAGAACCCCTTCCCCATTCACCTAGGGTCCCAGGGAGACCTCTGGCCCCATCCAGCCCCAGGGGTCTTGTGCCCCCTAGTGGCGATGCACTCTCAGTACACTGAATCTGGGGGGGGGGGGGCGGTCCCTGGTGGTGAACCGGGAAAACTCCTAAATCCCTTTCATAGGAATGTGTAAAATATCCACTTCTTTTTTCCTTTAACCTGGAGACAACGGGTGTAACAAAATATTTAAGACTGAGCCACCTGTTCATATTGTCCAAACCGTTTGGCTCTCTTCATCTGGAAGGGGCTTCACGGTGCCAAGTGGTCCAGGAGGGTGGGGACCCCTCCCAGGCTGTCTCCACACTGGGGACCACGGCCTCCCAGCCCTTACGCCTCTCCCTCACAGCCCACCCCTGGGCAGCCTCCATTCTGCTACCTGCTGGTTTGGGGGCCCCTCAGTCTCTCTAGCTTCTCCTGGAGCCCAGGGTCCTAGTCAGACCTTTATGGCCCTCAGGAGTGCAGCAGGGCTGTGGCTGACAGCCAGCACGGAGCGACCACAAGCGCTGCTCTCACGCCCCTGTTCTCTCTTCTCTCTGCATCCAGGTGCTCATGGACCCTCAACGGGGGCTCTGTCCCAGCCAGCTCCCCACCACCTTTCAGCATGGCTCAGAAAACAAACAACTGTGGGTTGAGCTATGCCCAGGCCAAACAAGAGTCCAGAGGTAAGTAAGCCTGATAAAAACCTACTGTGATTATTCCAAGGCCAACCAGAAAATCGTGGTGAACTTGTGGTAAAGGGTACAGACTGGACAAAGTCTGTTCTAAAACCACAGCTAAAGTGCTGAGTCACCTGCATGAAGGACCACCTATGTCACTACTGCCAGCGGGAGCTGGCCTTACTCCTTGGTTCATAAACTTCCTGAGAGAAGAATCTCCTCTTCTCTCTAAATATCCAGCCACCCAGCCTCTGACCTCCCCACCTACCCGTCTACCTACTCACCCATCTATCCACCCACCCACGCACCCACCTACCCATCATCCATCCACCTACCCACTCAGCCATCCATACAGCCATCTACTCTCCACACACCCATTTATCCACCTGTCCATTCACCTCTCCACATAACCACCTGACCCCCATTCACGATACTATTGGAGACTGCTGTGCGGGAAGCACCCGAAGGGAGTTGGCAGGGAACTCAGAATCTGAGGAGACAACACTGAGGACATCTGAGCTCAGGGTGGGCACTGATCAATGCTCTGGGGGCACAGAGAAGGGATGGGCCAGGGCCAGGCACGGGGTGGGAGGTCAGAAGCTTTGAGGAGGAGGAGGAGGACCCAAGTGGGTCCACAGAACCACAGGATTCACAGGAGGGGTTACTGTGGGGACCCTACTAACATGGCTCCTCGCCTGCTCAGGGAGGTCCCAACTGTAGGGACAGGCGGCGAGGAGCGGAGAAGGGCTCAGGGGCAGCCCCCGCCCCTAGCTTCCACCTTTGGCCCGGAAGGCCAGTTTGTCTCCTGCCTGCTCCTTCCGGTGGCTGGCCTCCCCCAGCCACCTCCCATCCTAGGACACAGGGGGACACGGGCCTTACCTTTCCCTGCAGAGACACGGCCCATACGGACAGGCGGCCCACAGGCTCGTCTGTGATTTCCCACCCCCCCACAGAGAGGTCATTGAAGGGGTCGGGCAGTTGCTCGGGGTCATCCTTCGAAGGGATCTGAAACGAGCAGGCATGTGGCAGAGGCGGTCACGACCCGTGGGCACCCGGGCCAGGAGATGGCAGTGTTCCCCTCCTGGTGGACACCCGAGTGCTGGGCCCCCCTCCAACACTCCCCGCTACCTTCCCCCAGCACGCTGCCCTCTGTTCTCCAGCTCAGCCCGCCCACAACTGCCTGACTCCACAGAGAAGCCAGCAAGCCAGCATCAGGACAGCGAGCTCCCGGCCCTGGGTCCCCTCTGCCCAGGCCTCCCTCTGTCGGCCACTAGGCCTGGGGCTGCTACCCCCGAGGGCCCACTGCTGCTCCAGTGTGGAAGGCAGACGTACAGGCAAGGTCTCGGCTCTGTGCTTTGCAGTGACCTGACTGCCGTGACCCTGTACCCCCACCTAGAGGGGGGCCGATCGCAGAACCTGGCCCTGGGTGTGAGCCGTTACCCTGTTCTCTGGGCGGCTGCTCCCAAGGCAAGGGGATGGCAGGCTGGACTAGCGGCCCCACCTCAAAGCAGGATCCCTCCAGAAAGGTCTGGCGAGGGCCCAAGGCCCTCCTCTCATTCAAGGCCACATAGGACCCCAATCCAGGCCTCACATCCCTGAACTGGGAGATTTCTGGGGTCACGGGAACAACCCAAGAGCCAGAGTGGCTCCTGTGGGG